TTTGTACAATGTTGCACAAATGCCTAGACCTTCCAGTCAGGCTAGTATGACACAGATTACAGATATCCTATTCCAACCAATTATGGAAGACAGTTAGTCATAACACAGAAAGAATTGCAAATTTTCGCCATTACTGAAATTTGAACTCTAGATCTGCCACTTGGAGGTTGACAACCTATCCACTTCACTAGGTCGCCACACTCCCTAGCTTTTTATTAATAATTATATTAGATATATGTTTTATATAGATATATTCATATTGAACTATCAGACAAATATACAACTAGTTATATATATAACTTTTCTATATTATTTATTTAAGAAGTTTATTTAGAAGTTTCTTACCAGTTGCTATACCTAACACCTCTGCTTAGATGTTCTATTTAAATCTTTTGATTTGACTCTGATATTAATTTCATTAGGTCACAAACCCAGATTTATTTGCTTTTAACTATAGAACTATAATTCTTAGACTATTTTTATTTTCAATACAAACCTATTAGAGTAAGCTATATTTCTTTTTTATTGCTAACCTGGTTTGATGCTATAGCTAAGACTAACACTTGCAACTAGGATTATCTATTAAACTACTATTATTCTTATAAAGTTCACTCAAACCCTAATATCTATCTTTCTGATTTCATCATTATTTTCTACTAGTCACAACTTAGAATCAACCAACTTCTTAGACTTTCAATTCAGATGACCTAGTATGATATACTTATATATCTTTTTTCTTTAACAATTTAGGCAGCTTAGTTAATGCATATGCTTCTTTTATATATCTGTTATCTGGTTTATTTAAAGATTTCTATGAAGATGTTTTATAGCTTTTACCAGTCCAACAGCATTATTGAAAGTTTGTACTATCTTTTTACTCAGGATTTCTAAATAAGTTTCTATCTTCTCAGTTTTTTAGCCTTTTATGCCCAGCGGTCTTATCATAGATTTGCACTAAAGCCTTATATAACATCAGTTTTTCATATTTTTTTATATATATATAATATTATACTTTATATAAATGCTCTAAGTTCTCAATATCAGATGGGATCTGACTTGGTGTATCTAAAATTACAGATGCCCAAAATCTAACTAATCAACAAAATACAGTTATCATAACAGATATAATTTTCAAAATTCATTATTCATGAAAATTGAATCTTAGATCTGCCACTTAAGAGTTAACAACCTATCTACTTCACTAGATTACTACACCCTTGGCTTTTGTTATTTTTAAAAAAACCTATATATATTTACATATTTAATATTCAAATTGTATTTTTTTTATTTTTTTTTTGTTATTTTTTGTTAAGATAAATTTAAATATATATAATTTTTTTAGTATATATATAGCTTTTGTTATTTAAAAAAACATTAATATTGTAATAGAATTTACTTTTTTTTCTATATTATTATATATTTATTTTTAGCTCTATATCATATTTTATATTTTCTTAATATTTTTACATAGTTTATAGATTATTTTATTAGTTTTAATCATCTATTTAATAGGTTAATATTAATTTTATTAGTAGATTTCTTATAGTATTTTATTTTAGCTAATAGTTATTTGAATATTTAAAATAATAATTGTTTAGTATATGTTTACTAATTTCTTCAAAGTTTTTATTAGTCATTAGTAAATTGCATTTTTGATTAGATGTAATTGTTAATCCTTAATAATATAATATTACTAATTATCTATAGCCAATTATATTTGTATATGCAAACAAAAAATTTTAAACTTAATAAAGGTTTATTTATACTTTTAATAGAGATGTGAAAAGGCTATTAACTGGTTTTTTATTATAAAAACACAAGCTGGTAAAGCTGTTTTGCTTTTTACTTTTAAACTAAAAAAAGGAAATTCTAAAATATTAAATTTAAATTTATTGTTATTAGACACTATTTATCTTAATTTGATGCTAGTAATTTTTTTTTGTTACTTGGTACAGTATATTTTATGCTAAATCTGTGTTGCATTAGTATGAATAAATATAAGCTTAGTGCTAAAAAAAGAAATGAAATTGATAAAAAATATTCTTTATAAATAATTATTATCTTGTAAAATATAGATCAGAATTACTTTAATATTTCATAAGATAATTAATTATTTGTAAAGGATTTTTTTTTGTCAACTTCATCACAAGAATAAACAAAAGTTCTGTAATTGTTTTAAACAGTAATGTAAAGAATGAATTGCAAATTATTATATTGTTGTATATGCATTTATATTTAGAAATTAAGTTATAATTAGTTTAATTTGTTACTAATTAAATGTAAAATTTTTACACTTTATTAAATTTTTTAAATGCTTATTACTTAAAAATACATATATGTTATAAAAATACAGTAGTCAAGTAGCTTAATATAATTTTTTTAATAGTATCAAATAATATGAATAATTTCAGTATTCATCTATATATATAAGCATTAAAGAAAGCTGTTTAATAAAAAAAAACTTAATTAGTCACTGCATATATATCCAAAATAGATTATGTATATACATAGTAAATTTATACATATGAGTGCTAGCAAGAGAAAACCTTAAACTGGAATAATAGTTTATTATTTCAGATTTAAGGTTTTTCTTTTGCCAGCACTTATATGCTTATTTGATCGATTTCTTGAATCTGTAATTTAATTTTCAAGATACATTATTGTTACACTATATGCATTTTATGCTTTTACTAAAAGTTCTTGATCATAATACTTGCAGTTGCATGTATATGATATAATGTAGATTTTGTAGGTTAGGCAAATAGTATAAATAGTAAAAATATAGTAGTAAAGATTTAACTAACATAATAAAAAGAAAAAACTAATAATTAAAATTTTGTCTATATACAAAGTTAGTATTAATAACTTAATAAATGTAATAAACTAGAGTAGACTACAATCAAATAATATATTTAAGAACAGGTTTTTCATTTAAGTTGTAAAGTAAAATCTTCAGATTCTTTTTATTTTTAATAATAAATTACTATTTGTATCATGTTTTTTTAAAACATTTAATAAATAAAATATAAAATGATACTTCTTTTTATTTCAATTATTTTTATTAATTTTTGCATTTAATCATGATTACCAACTTGATATAGCATTTTTCTATTGTCTTTGTTCAAGAAAATTAACCTAAAATTCATAAATCTATTGTGAATATTGTTATTTGTTAAAGCTATTTTATTTATTTTATTTTATTTATTTTAACCAAGTATCTGTTAATATGATATTATTATTAAGTATCAATACAATTTTTAATATTGAAGAAAAAGATATAGATATTAGAGATGGCAGTGATAATAAATTTGATGATATGCTTAACAGAATGCTTAATACAACAAATAGTGCTAGCCAAATTTAGAAGCAATAGAAGATGATAATATAATAGAAGAAGGAACAGAAAGAACAAAAAGATCTAAAACTTATAATCTTCACATCAAAAAATATGTAGAATGGATTGAAGGTCTTAAGAAATTAAAGCTTAGTTATATTAAATATGACTATTAGGCACAAATCGGTGCAAAAAAAAAACAATGATCAGAGAGATGATATTGCTATTAGTATAGTATTTATAAAAGTACTGCTAGAAAATATACTATGAAAAAGCTATAATTAGTGCAAAAAAAAACAAAAAAATGTGGTTGTAAAAGTTATATTATTGTTATACTTCTTATAGGTTCAATAATAATAGTTTTGTACTATTATTATAAACATATTAACTACTATCCTAATCAAATGTCAGATTTATATACCTTCTCTCTCTCTGAAAATATTAGACAGTTCATCTATCAATGTGCTCTTAAAGAACTTGATGCTTTTAGTATTCAACAGCTCTTGTGCTTTCAAGCTATTAAGCTTCAGGATTAAATTCAGTCATTAGAAATAGGTCAACATAGTAAATCTTCTCAACATATTTAGCAACTACAAAATAGATTAGTAATAAAAGAAAATATTTATGCAATTATGTGATGTAATGAAAACATATATTTATCTTAATAAAGATAAAATAGAGTCTTTAGATAAATGTAAAGCTAAAATAATTAGCATAGGTAGATGTTGCTTATTTGAACATGCCAATAAGCCAAATTCTAATTTAGTTAATACAGAGTTTCTTTTTGCTTTTTAGACAAAAAATCAAAAGAAATCTATATGACATGCCAGAGTTATATGCCTAGATAATAATTATAGAATAAATAAATATAACTATCACCTTTTTACACTTATTATATAGCATCTTTTGATGAAAAGTAGATATCCAATTGTGTTTCTAATTAGCAAATATAAAAAATCATTATCATAAAATAGCTGAACTTCTTAAAAAAAGAACATCATGAATGAAGTCTGGATATTTTTATAGTTAACAATGCAGATGAAGAAATAAAAGCTATTGAAGAAAAATTTTCTAATAGTATAGTATTATTATATTATTTTTATATATTAAGATAAAATAACTGTTTTTTTTAAAAACAAAAATCATTTAGCATTATTTTTTTATCTTTTTTTTTTCCTTATAATTATCATATTATATATTTTTTTTCTTTTTTATTTCACTAATAAATTTTAAAAAAATTCACTATATCAAATAGCATAATTCAAATTCTATATAACATTATCATAATTTTGCAGACATGCATGTTTGTGACAGTATTGAATGGCAGTTTGAGTAAAATTTGAATCATGCTATTTAACATAGTGAATTTTTTAAATTTTACAAGTTTTTATTACATTTGGCTCTTATTAATTAGCTTTATTAATATTAATCTAAACTATAAAAACAAATTTTTATATATTAAATTGCCTTATATATATTATCTTTAATATAATCTTTTATCAATATTACTATCAAACATAGATTTAAACTAATTCAAATAGGTTGATATTAATGAGAGTCAAGTGTATTATTATTATTATTATTATTATTTCTTTTTAATATATACAATTATATTAAAAATATAACTTTGTTTTATATTAGATTTTGGTGCAGAAAGCTAAATTATTATTCTAGTACTAAAATTGACAAATACAAGACAATAGTTTAAAAAGATTTCTGGAAATTGATGAAAACTGAAGTATAGAATGATGCAAAAGTGAAAAAACAAGTCACAGAGGCAATTGACAAGTGGCAAAAATTTAATAACAGAACAGTAAGCACCTTTGCTGACTACTTTAAGCATTAGTGAAAACCAAAATATAATAAGTAGATAGTATGTCTAAGAAGGATTTTTAGAGATATAATAGATACAAATAATTTAATTAAAGCATTTCATTGCAAGTTAAAATATACTTATATAAGAGAATGATTAGGACAAAGACTTGATAGTAAAATATATTTTTTATTAAAGTTATACTTCAAAATCTAAAATTTTCAGCCTTTTTGGATAAATTAAGAGTAGGCAAAATAAATCTCCAAAGACATCAATAATGGATTTGAGAAATTATAGAAACCAAAATATTAATCTGAGTAATATTTATAGTGTCAGCTTTGGTATTTGGATTGTGCATTTAATAATAAATAATAATGTAAAATATTCTGTTCAGATGAAAGATTTAGTAAATAATAGTAAAAACAATTTAAACATATTTATATATATTTGCAATTATCATGATTTCAAAACATGACAATTGTTATGCAAAAATATTTTTGCTGTTCTTAACAAGCTTCACATTAGCTATGATAATATAATAGAAAATATTCATAAATCTATTGTACAATAGTTAGTAAATCTAATTGCTAAAGGGACTCCTAATTCTTTTGCTTCTTTTGGCTTCTTAAATGATAAAAGCTTTGAGTTTTTAAAACTACAAGAAGAGTTTACATTAATTGCTACAGAATGGAAGAAAAAATACAGTTAAAATATTCACAGTTTATAAGTAATACTTAGACAAGCTATTCAAATAAAAAAAGTAAGACTTGCAAAGGTTAATGCTGTAATTAGTAACAATATTTTAGATGGATCTAAAATAGCACCAAACACAGAATCAGAAAGCAAAAATGATTTTAAATTTAGTTTTACAATTAATAACAAATATAATAAATATTATTTACTAACTTATTTAAATAAACTTAAAGTTGAGGGTGTGGTGACCTAGTGAAGTAGTCAGGTTGTCAACCTTCCAAGTAGTAGGTTGGGTGTTCAAATCCCATTAATGGCAAAAATTTGGATAATTACCTATATAATATTCATATTATGACAACTGTTACTAACAATTGAATTAGGATACCTGTAATGGCAGTCACACCAGCATGACTGGCAGGTTATGGGGCATCCGTGCAATGTTGGAGTTACATGGAAGAATGCAAACTAACAAATCAGGCAGTGCAAACACTAAATAAGTCCTTGTGGCTATGTAAATCTGTTAGAATTAGGTACAAAAAGTCCATTTGGAAAGACCCAAGTAGAAAGGTAGCTAGATCTTCGACAGCCCTACTGTAATGGCTAGCCTGGCAAAATGAATACCCAGGTCTAGTATCTGGTCCTAGTAGCTGGATGGGCAAGAACCTTCAGGTTGGAAGTCTCGGAGGTACCACCAACCAGGCTGCTAGAATGAATCAGAGAAAAAGGATATCAGGCCAACCTGATATACCAATGGACTGATTATAGTCCTATACAGGCTATCTGGATTGGAAGTTTGGTAAAAGGGCAAGGGAAAAGGCAGAGGTATACTAAAATACCAGGGTTATGCTGTGAAGTAGATGCTGGGGTCTAAGTGAACTCTACAAGAGCATAGCAGTTTAATGATTAGTTCTGACTACAAGTGTTGGTTCTGCTATAGTGATACCTAGGTCAGCTGTAAAAATAGGTACAGAAGGCTCTGGGGGGTTTACCTCGAGGATAAATTAGTTCTAAGGTTAAGAACAATGATCTGGTATATCTAAGATGATCAGTGATGTTAACACAGGTTACAGGTTCAGAGAGTTTAAAGTAGAACACCAAAGCAGAGTTATTAGGTATGGCAATTGGTAGGGAACCTTCGGGTGAACTTCTTAAATAGGTAATATAGAAAAGTTACACATGTAGCCAATTGTACGCTCTCCTGTAATAGTTCATTGAACCACAATACTGATAAGTGATTAATAAAAGTCAAAAGACCAAAGAGGTCACTTTAATACTAAAAAAAAAAAAAAATAAACTTAGAGTTTTTTTTGTCTATGTTGTAAAATAAGTCTTCAAGTTTTTATACTCTATTCCTTAATTTAATTTATTTTTTATATTATTTTATTTATTTTATTTCTTTGACAGCTTTGTTGAAGCTTTATTACAAAATTTTATTAATTAAAACATTATTTATTTCTAGTAATCCACCTTTTGAAATTGCAAGCCTGGTATCATTCTAGTAAAAAACTGCACCAAAATGTAACTTGTTGCACCAATCTATTTCTATATTGGGAACTATTGTTAGCTCTGTCAAGAACCAAACCAAAATGAATTATTTTTATTTTGTATTATTTCATCAACACTTTCTATAAACAACTGCCTATACTTTATCTTCTTTTTTTTGTTTTTTTCTACTTTGGCCTTATTCACTAATACTTCTTTACTTTTAACTTTCTTTATGCTGCATTTTTCTTTTTTAACTGCCTTGATTCTTTTTTGTTTTAGTTTTAATTCATTCTACTTTCTTCTTCCTATTTGACTACTGTTCTATATCTTTGCTATCAAATTTCTTCTCTAAACATCTTTTCTACAATCTTAATATACAATCTGATATTCTGCTTTATACCTTTTCATGAAATTTGTTTAGCATACAACTTCTTAAACATATTCTTAACTGATAAACCATATATGCATGCCTCTTTATATTTAATTTTATCTATTTCAGTTTTACTAACTAATGTTCTTTTAAGATTACATCTTGTAAGCTTATTTTTGTCTAACTTGTTGAACTTCTTCTATACTAACCAATATGCTAACTCTTCAATATTATTTTAATAACCCTCATATTCTTTACAGCTGAGCATGTATCTTAATAATTCTTTCTCTGTTTTGCACTTCTTACATATATCTAAATCATACAAGTTTGTTGCTCTTTTCTTTAATATATTGAGCACTAGTAAACTATCAGTAATATACTTAATTCTAAATAATATTTTCTTATTCTCTTCTAAGGATTTATACTTATTTCCTATTAACTTTTTATTTTCTTTCTGCAGCTATTTCCAATCTCATTGTGCTTTTACATCTAGTTTTAGCTCTTTTATTATACTTAAGCATTATTACTTAGCATTGTTCATTATATTTATTATTATCTTAACAAACTTTCTCATTAGTATCTCTACTACTGACTCTTTTCAAAATAATGCACATGGAAATCTTGAATTTTTTTAAGCTTTGAATTTGTATTCTTACTCTGCCATGCACTCTTTTTTGCAAGTTTATTGGCTTTTTTATTCCATACTACTCTACTATATGCTTTAACTTTAACTAATGTTAAACTAATATTCTTTAACTTGCATATATCTTTGATTTTTGTAACTAATTTAAAGTTCTTACTTTTACTTCATGCTC